TAGGTCCATAAACTAGAGACAGGAGGTACTTTTGCTTTTTACGCTAATCCAGGCAAAGGGTGACAAGGGCTTGAAGTGGGGTCTTCTGAATGGGGAGGAAAGAGAGGGCTCTACACATTAGCTACTTAAGAGAGAGACTTGCAGGTTTGGAACTAATTAGCTATGAGATGTAAGGGGGTAGGGAATCAAAGATGATTCCAAGGTTTTGAGCCCAGGAGAATGGATGACAATATTACAACCAGAGAAACGGTGCAAGACGGCTGAGTCTGGGAAGGAAGCTCTAGGCCTGCTGATTGTAAAGCAGGGGGTTTTATTTTGTTGACTCTTGTGTCCCAGCACCTAGAACAGTGCTTAGCATATAAATGTGCTCAATAATATTTGTTTTTTTTTCAATAATATTTGTTGACTAGGTAACACCAGTAGAACGCAAGTGGAGAAGTTCCCAAGCAGTTGTTAATGCAGTCGGCCTCCTTCACGATGTCTGCTAGGAAGGCAGATACACCTACTTGAAGCCATGTGATGAGTTGCCAAGAAAGTGGAGAGGAAAAGGGGGGAAGGTTGAAGAGAGAGCTTTGGGGACCCTGACATTTAGGGGTCAGAAAGTAGGACCAGAATCCAGAGAAGGTGGGCAGGTGAGCACTAGGATCAGTCAGTTGCTGCCAATGGGTGAAGGAGGCTGGGGCAGGAGAAGGGGGCACGGGACTGAGCGGCTCTGGGAAAGCTGGACACGACCGCAGCAAGGCCCTCCTAGCAGTGAAGAGCAGCTACTGGCCAGAAAGGAGAGTCGGGGCAGTGGCTGGAGGGGGAGGCCGCGCCAAGCGGCCGCCCTGGTTTTTGCTTGGGTTCGGAGGGGTCCTAACAGCCTAGACGTGGAGCAAGGCAGGGAGGCGGAGGTGGAAGATGGAGTGAGTTAGGAAACCATGGCCGGCGTGGGGGGAAGCTGTCCTCCAGGGAAAGGACCACTTCCAGGCTAGGAGCAGGGCGGGGGAATTAAGTTTCGCTGTTGTTCCAAACTTCCTGCGGGCCCGTTTTGTGCGGGGCACAGTGCGGGCTGAGGGCCACCACCAGGCAGGTCGCCACCCGGCTGCCACACCACCTGAGGCGGTGGCCTGGCTCCCCGGGTCCCGATGGGGGGAGGTGGCCCCGGAGCCCTGCGGGCGGGGGGAGGTGGGT